TTAATCTTCTTAGCAATCCCCCTACGAAATAGAATGGTTTTAATCTTTTTCAGCTTTTGGTCTTGGTTCTTCACCTTGCACTTCTCACTTTCGTAAGTAACCTCATCCAGCACATCATCAGCCTCAAAAACCACATCCCTGAGCTTCTCAAGCCAACCCTTCACAGCACGGTCTCGCACCTGTCTCTCCTCTGCGTCCAGCAACACATCCTTGATCATGCGCAGTTTGTTCTGAAGCGTTTCAAGCTCCTTCTTACACCCGACAGCAAGGCTGATTTCCTCGGCAGCAGTGGAAATCAACTTGGAAATTGTGGTATTGATGATGGGACTCATGAGAAAGTCAGCCCATTGTGGATCCATAACTTGAAGAAAAGAAATGGTTGGTTTTGGAAGCCTCTCTGGAGCAAAGAAAGGAAGAAAGGTATGTTGGTGGCGCATATAATGGAAATGGATGAAGAGAAAGTACTATGTATAAATGCACAGTTAGTGTTGAGAATCAATTTTAATATCAAGTTGCAGCACTCTGCTTATCAAAAAAAAAAAAAGTTGCAGCACTCCGCTTTTATAGTGGTGTTTGTTTTATCTCAATCGGCAAAACAATAATTTATTAGTATCATGATTGGGAGCACACCCGGGTGTGCACCCCTCACATAAAAAAAAAAAAATGAATCGGGTGTTGGATCTTTTTTTATCTTTTTAAGTGGAGTGTGCACACCCGAGTGTGGGATCCAGGTGTGCACACATCATTTTCCTTCTTTTAATGTTACATTATTGATGACTTTATTGTAATACCCTTACACTAAACGTCCCTTCTTGGACCACTTTGCACATATTTATTCCACTTTCATACTGCCAACACACCTTCCAATAAATATCCAGCTAAATCACTTCAATAAGTTTGCTCCTTCTTTGGTGGCTCACCTTTTCTTATTATCAGATACAGTTTGACTTGCAATTGAGGGCGTAGTTCTGCTTCTGCTTCTAATCTGCTTGGCGTAACTAATTTGATTATCAGTGTCTACTTTGGCTTGCAATTGAAGGCGTACTTCTGCTCCTGCTTCTAATCTGCCTGGCGTAACTAATTTGATTATCAGTGTCTACTTTCTTCAGTTTTTTCTATTGAACTTGCAGGTATGCTCGAACTTTGATCATGATTTTGTGTGCTTATGTTACTGTTAAATTACATATTAAATGAAAGACATCTATTTTTTTTTTTTAATGCATGACCTCATCTTCAATATCCTTTCTTAGATTCTTTATTTTTAAATTGTTCTTTGCTAAATTATTGAACTCTTTTATACTCAGATTTATTTTTACTTGATTAATTTAAATTATATTCTATTTTCAAGAAATTCTCATCAAATCCTATTATTGCTAAAAATAGGCTTGCAATTAAGCAAATCTGCTATTAGATGGAATTTGTTTGGTTTAATTTAGTCATCCTCACAAATTTCTTCAATTTCATCTATTTAGATCTTAAATCTTGATTATCTTTTGTTTTTCTTTTTCTTTTTAATGAGAAAAGAAGAATAAAAAGAAAAGAATCAATAGATACAAATTATTAGGATATCAACTCTAAGTTTTTGATTCTTTTAAGTTTTTGTTGTCGTATATACAATAAAAATAATATAACAGTGGTGTACCAAGTCATACAAATTATTAACATATCAATCTCTGTTGAATTAGTCTACTTTTTCATTTTATATTTTATTTCTAATATTAAGTATAACTCGGTTATAATTAAAGTAATTGAAATTTTAAATCAAATTAATTTTTTTTTTACTTTGGTTAATTCAGTTAAATTGATATTTTTACATAATTTTACATTTTTTATAAGGTAATTAATTAAAATAAATAAATAATAATAATAATAAAATATCTATCTACTTTCACGTCAACAGACAACTACTAACTCTTAACAAAACTTTCCTCTTGTATTTTCGGTTTGGAATTGAAGCTTTTTGAAAATTGAAACCATTTGCTCTTTTATTTCTATTAATAAATTGGAAAATGATGTGTGCACACCCGGATCCCACACCCGGGTGTGCACACTCCACTTAAAAAAATAAAAAAAGATCCAACACCCGGTCCATCTTTTTTTTTTATGTGGAGGGTGCACACCCGGGTGTGGGATCTGGATGTGTACCAATCATGATCCTTAAAAGAAAAGTTTCTCAACCTTGTTTATGTTCCCATCTAGTCTAGTTTTCCCTTGTTCCTTTTTCTATGTATTTTCTGCTTGTTCATTTGTCTATGTATTAATATTACAATAAAATAAAAATAAAAATGATATTTTTAATTTTTATTCTTCCTAACATAATTTTTAAGAAAAAAACTTTCTTATAACTACTCCTATATTAAGTTCACATAATAATTTTTTTATTAATATTTTCTATATAATTTTTATTAAATATAATAAATTAATAATTCAATAATTAAAATTTCAATAAAATTTTATTACAAAATTTAAATTTTTTTTATAAAATACTTTATAATTTTTCATATAATATTTTTTAATCACTTTTTTAATAAAAAGCTTTTTAATAAAATTACATTTTAACCAAATAAATCCATCATATTTCTATTTCTTGTCCAGATCGAGTTTTCCCCTTCGTTCACCATAAACAGGTATATAAACATTCTTTTGATATTCTTTATTTTCCTAAATCTCAATCTATTGGGCTAGCTTAATATTTAAATATAAAATTTTTAATTTTAGAATCTTAATTTTTTTAATTAATTAAGTTATTCTTTAAAACATTACAAGTTTATAATGGTGGGGTAGACTTGCAAATGAGAGAGCGGGGTTACGGATTAAAGTCCTTAGTGCCAAATACAATCGAGGAGAGTGGAATTGGGGTACTTGGATTAGAGAGGGAAGTGGGGGAGCATCATGTTGGTGGAGAGATATCAGTACTATTAATTGGATACTAGATGGAAAAGTGGGTTGGCTTAATGAAGGGTTTAAAATCAAGTTAGATGAGGGCAAAAATGTATCATTTTGGTTAGATAAGTGGACTGGTGATTACAGTTTAAGGGACTTGTTTCCAAAATTTTTTTCTTTGAGTACAGATAAATGGAGCTTCGTACAACAAATGGGCCACTGGACCGAAAACGTATGGAGTTGGAATTTTACGTTGGAGAAGGGAACTACACACATAGGAGGAAAGTCAAGTGGAGCACTTACAACATGTACTAAGTCTCAATCAGCCACTAATGGCAAAGGAGGATAGTTGGTGTTGGATTCATGAAAGAAATGGGCACTACTCTGTAAGATCAGCTTACAAGCTACTATCACCTGGTGAGATAAACGATGGAGCAAAATTTCTTAAGAAATGCTAGAACAATTTGGTGCCAAACAAGGTCTGCACCTTTGGTTGGAGGCTGCTGCAAGAATGGATCTCAAGTAATGATAACCTATTGAAAAGAAAAGTAATCAAAGATGTTATGGATGCAAGGCGCGTGTTTTGTGATGATATGATTGAAGATGCAAATCACTTAATGATGCGGTGTGATTTTTCCTACAAAATATGGACAAAATGCTTTGAATGGTGGGGAATCTATTATGTTATGCACAATAATTGTAGGGAAGCTTTCATTCAACATTTTCGGGCAGCAAGGAACAAAAAGGGATGGCAGGTAGTTTGGTATGCATTTGTTTGGTCAATTTGGTTAGCAAGGAATGCTGCAATATTCAGTAAAAACAGGCTATCAGAAGACTGTGTGCTCAGGATGATACA